CTATTGAAAAAAATTAACTACGGTTTCATTAATTTTGGAAAAATGATAAAATAATCGGAACTTTTCTTTTCAAAAAATAAAATTTTGGATTAAACTGTAAATTAGCCAAAACTATTTGGATTTTATTGGAGATTTCCGTTTAAAATGAAACTAATATATTATAGTTTTATGAATAAATAAGGTTAATATGAAATAAATAAAAATATAAATATTTCATCACCTGAAAATAAAAAATATAGTAACTAAAATAAAATATTACGTTGAATCGTCTTCCAAATCATGACCTTAATCATTGAAGAACAATTCTCAATCTACATATGTATCTTCAAATAAATCCTTGTACAAATACTTGTGGAGTGGATATATGTTGGCTCTATGAATATGTTTTACCAAACATGAATGTTGTGATGGATTTAACAGTCATGTATTTTTTATTCCCTGTATTGTGGCATACCAACATCTACTCCTTTGAAGGTTGTCCAAAATTTTGTTTTCATGGTAATGACATATTGTTTCCTTCGCCTTATAAAGTCATATTATGTAGTATGATGCACGCATGCATCTTGATTTGAAACCTTCTAGGATCATATTACCATGTCAGGAGTTTGAGTATTTGCCAATGTCTTTTAAGAACACTAAGGTGTTGTTTGTTTTTTCTAAGGCAAAATGTCTGTAGTCTGCGGACCACATCTGTAGACCTCTGCAGCAGAAGAGGTGGACCAAACGTCAGCAGTCTGAAAAAAGAAGACTGTTTGTGTTTTTAACATCTGCAGACTACTAAAATATACTAAAATCTAAATAAACTGATTTTTTTAAACTACAAAGTGATTTTTTAATATATTTATGACATTGTTATAAATAATTAACAAATCTAAATCAACTTTTATGTATTATTCTATAAAAAGTGAAAAATAAAAATGGTACAAATTAACGTATATATTTGATAAAAACCAACAATTTTTGTCGCAAAGTTATGTCTAAACATTGTAATTAGGAATCAAAGAATTTGATATATAAATGAATGGAAATAATCTTCGATTTTTTCAATTAGATCAATTAAAAACGTGTCATAAATATTTTTTCTAAGAAATTGACGATGTTTATTAAATAATGTTTTATAAAATTTGCACATATATATTTATATAAACAACTTCAACTATCATTATTGTAATAAAATTTTATTTATAAATTTGTTAAAAATATCATGTTTGTGTCGTCGAACTATTTTTTTAAGTATTGTAACTTTTTTTTTTTCAAATTGTTTATCACTAATAAAGTTGGAATAAAGATAAATTCAAAAAAACTAAAAAAAATAAAGTATATGTGTTTTTTTAGGCTAGAAGATGTCTGAAGATGTTAGAAGATTCTGGTCCACATCTGCGCCAATAAGAGGGCGCACAGACATTTTTAGGTCTGCAGTCTTAAAAAAAACAAACAGTCTGCGAAGGCTAATGTCTGCGCGTGGTCTGCGCCGCGCAAACAGAAGAGGTCAGGAAGATCTGCAGACTAAAAACAAACACCACCTAAATGATCGTTCCAAATCCTTCCTAGTCGTTTCTTTTACTGTCTGAAATTTTGATATTTTTTCTTCGTTTAGACATATCAACGATTTGATAAATATAGATAACTCATTATGTGTGTCCAATTAATAAGATAGTACCCAGACTTATATGGTACTCCATTCGATTGAAACGGAACAGAGTGCGCCTTTTTAAGATAAATGTCGTCCAATACCCATATCCGGTCAGGAATAAGTATTTCGTTGCTTGAAACCGAGAATGCATGCTATTTTCGAAGATCGTATGTAATTGCTTATAAAATTATTGTCTAAAATTGCAGGAAACATATGCTTGTTTTCATGTGTTGTATATAATCGGTAGACGTTATTAATGGTAGGTTTCAGTAAATATCATTCGCCATAAACTAAAACCACAACTTTAGCAAACTTGTAAACAATATCTCGTATGGTTCGCTCATACATCCTTAAATATTCATCCAAGAGTCTGTTCTCATCTACTATAATAAATGAAGATAAATTTGCCACATGTCAATATCTAATGAATTTTGACACTTGTCATTTTGAGATATTTTTTCAATAAATAATATTCACATATCAATTTATGTTTTTTTCAATTTTTAAAATTAAAAAGCCACATAATACTTATACTTATATATGTAAAATATCAAATGCAATAAATATTATACTAAATTGCAATTAATATGTTTCTTAATTTCTTATTTCCAAATTTTATTTTAAATTTTTTTTATTATTACATTTTAATATTTTTTTTAATCAACCCGTGTAATACACGGGTTTTACACCTACTATTGTATGATAACCGACTTTTTTTTATATCGGAGAAATTCCATTTATACCTCCCACATCCAATTTCAATTGAATATATGGAAATCGGCCTGTCAAGTCATCAACAATGGGTAGGAATGATTATTTTCTCATCCAAAACCGCCGTCTAAACCTTTAAAGGTACATGACGTCAACATCAAAGTAGTATTTTATGAGACGATTGTGTCTCACTTCACGAAATCTCTTTAAAGGACATTTCTTGTTCTAAAACGTGAACTTCGAACTTCTTGGTTTTTATAATACGTCATTGTTTTCCCAACAAGTATTCCGATAAACATTGACTCCCCTACTGCTACGTATTGTACGGAGTTGAAGATGATAATGACATTGTGAAATTGCAAAACTGCGTATAGCACTGATTACTATTTGTGCTGTGGTGAACAAAATTGAATAAATAAAACTAGTGTTTATAGAGTTTGAGAAAAAAAGCCCAACAGCTAGATTCAAAAAGAAAGAATGTGATTGTTTACAGTCTCGTCGCAACACTCACAGTGAGTTAGTGCATAATAGTGTGGTTTACCACAGATTTGCGGTGTCAGTTGGCATTAATCGCACCATGCGGTGGAAATACCCCTTTTAGCCTAAGTCTAATATTCACTTTCAATTTTAATATTTTTGTGGTTATGATGACTTAGCTAACGATCTAGAATTCTAGAATCTAATGTCATCATCATTTTATCATGTACTATACTACTAAATTTGATTGCTTAACAAGGCTACTCTGTTCGAAAATTTTAGTGGGCTTTTGAATTATTTTATGGGTATCTTTTCTAATTTGTAGGACGCCAAATGGCCCTAATCAATGAATTATATCCCATCAAAAACATAAATTTTACAATTAGTAATTTGTATAGCTTAAATAAATCATTTTTTTTTACAAATAGCATAAAACCTTCAAACTTTATAATAATATTTCGACATATTTTTCTCTCCTTATTTATTATAATTTAATGGCCATATAAAATGGAGTGTAGTGTTAAATAGTTTGTGGTAGAGTAATAATATGGATGTACAGTAAAAGCAATAATAAGAATGTAGAAAGGGGTTTATGTCCACTTGTTTATGTTACCCACTCAACCTCTAACTTTAAAAGTCAATGATCGCTAAAGAACTTCTACCCATTGCAACAACTATGTTGAAATACCACTCAAACCCATAGTACTTGATAGTCCACTTATGGATTCTTAACCCCATCCACCCACCCACCCAACCCTAAGCACAACCGGTTTAAATTAGGAGACTTAAGTTTGAGCTCCTAATGTTATTGTTTACATGACATTCATGTTAATTTTCTTTACAATTTTTTTTATAGGACTTAGATCTATGTTATAGATCATAATTTTGATAATTTATAACATCATCTAGATACATATTGTTTGATAAATGGAAAAATTATTGTTTAATATGACTAATATAAGATAAATGTTAACCGTTGGATATTTTGATCAGCAAATGGTACAATCAATATTACATAAAATTATCATAATTTGTAAAAAATATACAATGCATTGTGACAGTTGTTTAACGCCAAAACTAGTCTCTGCAACGGAAGTTTGTTAATTGAAATAAAAAATAAAAAATAAACAACAGTTCTAATTTTTAAATTTTGACATATCAAAATATTATTAGTGTTTTACGATTTACCTCCAATTCCAAAACAACGGGCGGTAAGATGGTTTCCACATAAACATATAAGATGATATGGTTTATTTTAAATGTTGAAACTAACTTTTTTTGGTACTAATGCAAATCCCAAGTCTTAAGTGGTACTGTATTTGAGAAACAAAATGAATATTAACCACCGGTGACAACTTCATAAACTCAACCGACTGTTTTTATAAACGATTATATTCATAAAATATAGTATTAATTTTATCAAAATATAAAACTTGTTATTATTTTATATGGATAGAAAATAAATAGAAAAAAATGTAAGATGATATATAATTTCTACCCAATCATTCTATAAATATTCGTTAAATAATTATTACATAAATTACTAATTTTCAATTTCATCTATATATAGTTTTCCTGAATAAATTTAGCTATACAATATCTAATTAAAAAACTTTGTATGTGTTTAGAAAAAACGGAATTTAAAAGAGAGAAGTTATATATTAACTACTGATACATAGTACCCATTAAATAAATATTAGATATACAAGATCTTATTTATAATTTTATATAGTATATTTATTAATAAAACGTGGAGACGCCGTGCCGTCACATTCACTCCTCCATCGTCGCTGAATCTAAGGACATTCATATATTTTAGTGCCACTAATACACAACATCACCTCGGTTAAACACTTATATTTATTAATTTCTATATTTTTGGGAAAAATATTATGTAGATTTAAATTTTATGAAAAATAAAGAAAGAAAGTAATATGAACATAAAACTTAGACACGTAGACACATGCAAATCATAATTAAAATTTGCAGAAAAGCCCACTACGCTCTTGTAAGTTTTAACCATTGAGGTCTTCGTAATACAAAATGATTGATCAAATAAAAGAAAATAAGAAAGTATGTATTTATGAATAAATTCCGTTATATATTTCTACTTCTTTTTTGGTTTTTGAATAAACAACATATACCACAATTACATATATCAAGTATGGTCAACGAGACCTCAGTGGTGTAATGGGTTCGGACCTGTCGGGACAAGCCGCATCTCAACTCCATATCTTTGGTCAATCTCTGGCACTGCAGCCGGATGCTGGTGGTGCTGGTGGTGATCCCCATGAAGAAACGGTGTGAAGTCGAAGTTTGCGGTTGGTGATAACACTTTCCTGTTGATCAATACACGGCGTGTCAATAGTGACCTGTAATGTTGATCCTGTTGTTTTTCCTTTACGATATGGTTGCCTTTTACAGTTGGAGGTGGTTGCCGGAAAATAATGGTGGTGGTTGTAGTTGTGTACCATAAGAGGAGGATGGTGAGAGAGAATACAATGATGAGAGTTGTGGGTGATCGTGAAATTCCGGCTACCATAGCGGGTGGCGGTTGTGGTGGAGGAAGAGGGAGGAGGGTGGAGGAGAGGGCATGGAAAGGTGAAGAGGAGTATATAGGGAGAAAGAACGTAGGGTCTTTGTTAAGTTTTGATTGAATCTCAAATGAGAGAATATTAATATTTGGTGTGAATATTGTTGAAGGAGGGAGGGTAATAAGGTCCAAATAATGCGGAGAGGGAGCAAGAAGTGGTGCCGACCATTCTTCCAACGAGACCTTCCTTTGCGATCAAGCAAGTGCTACTCGACATTTTCATAAACCCCATTTTCTCAAGCCTTTGACTTTTTCTTCCATTTATTTCTAATTGACAAATATAGCCCCTCATGCTTTCGAAGAATGCATTTATAGTCGTTCAATTTTTCTTAACCGAGATATGTCCCTTTAACACAAAAAATTCTACATAAACGATCATTGATTGATACCTATTATAATTACTAATGGTTGTCTACCAGTATTTCTATTTCAAATTATATAACCTGTACTTCTATAGCAATAGAATATCAGGAAATTTAAATTAAGTTGTTGGCTGAAAAAACTAATGAATGTTCATTACGAAAAGGAAAGTTTTTTTTTTTTTTTTTTGGTACAAAAATAGTGATGTTTGATTGAATCAATCAAAACTTAAATGTAAATGTAACATCGGAGATATTATATGTTCGTTTTTTTTTTTTTTTTTTTTTTTTTTTGTTTGTAAATAGGATTAAGGAAAATGTAAGAAATGAATTTAAGTGAAAGTTGTGCAAGTAAATGAAGTGTGTGACACTTGTTTACGTCAATTTTATGTGACTTTCTAGGTGACTTGTAAGTCGATCAACTAAGTCATATAAAAAATGAAAGTGGGAAGAATATATAAGTGACATGGTCAACTCTTAACGAATTGCACACGACTAGAATACAAGCCTTTAATGACATGCAAATATATATATATATATATATATATATATATATATATATATATATATATATATATATATATATATATAAAAGGTTGTAAAACTCGCTACTCGGTACCTGCTCGGCCGACTGGGGAGTAGCGAGTACTCGGGCGTACTCGGATTCGGTAATTTATGTAGAAATATTTTTAGAAAAATTATATATGTCAAAATCATAAGTTAAAATCATAATTTGATTGAAATATATAACAAAATTAGATACATGTGAATAAATAAAAACTGAAATACACACAAATGTCTCACTTCATAAATAATTACTAAAAATTTAAGATATATATGTAGTAATAATCAGATGTGTGTGTTAAATAATAAATCATTAAGTGTATTATACATATTAATCTTGAAATTCTTGATTTTTTTCTTTTTATGACAATTTTGACCTTTTGACCGAGTAGGCCCGAGTAAGACCGAGTAGGCCCGAGTTAGAGAGATGTTGACCGATTTTTGACCGAGTTTGACTTAATCCGAGTTTTTTTGCCGAGTTCACATTACTCGCCTCAGTGGAGGGCCGATTCCGAGTAATCGGTCGAGTAGGCCGAGTTTTGCAACACTATATATATATATATATATATATATATATATATATATATATATATATATATATATATATATATATATATGACATGCATTTTTGCAGGTCCTAAAAAAGTTATCCCTTGTGAGATTCTAAGCAATTAGGATTTGCATTTTTGTGTGCTATGAAATACCATCGTTTTTTATTTTATTTAGGTATAAGTCAAACGTGTGTCTCTTCCATCCGCTTCTAATTAAGTCAACTTAAGTCAATAGCGAGCTAGGGCTTTTTCTTTCACTTATCGACCTGGAAATTCGAGACACAAATACACGAATCTGTGAGAGACATGACACGACACGGATACATGACACGAATATATCTTGAAAATTGAGATAAAGCTTATTTCTCATCATGTAATCGTATCGTGTCAACTTTGTGGCTGACACGTTTCCATGACACGGATACACGAATTGCTAGGCCTATCACTTCCCACCATTTTTTTCACTTCTCGCGATCAAGGAAGCAGAGAATGACGACTGCAACAATACTTCTTCTCACTGACCAGCGACCTGATCAGCTCACGTTCCTTTTACCGGTGACTGTGACTCTTCAGCCTCACATTGATGTCGGGCGGTTTTTTTTCCCTTCCCACGATCGAGCAAACGGAGAACGACAACTGCAACAGTACTTCTTCTCACCGACCGACGACCTGATCAACTCACCTCCCTTCACCGACGACTACCACTTTTCAGCCTTACAGCGCCGCTGACGCCACTTCCCATCTATGTCCTCCTCCCAAACGATACTCGTCGCCGCTGATACCCTTATGCCTTATTTGAACATCCATCGAGAAGCTTAATGTCCAATTCGTAGTAAATATTAATATTTTTAGTTGTTTTCTTCGAATCCCCTCTTATATGAGGTTTATTTGTTCTGATTTACATATGAAATATGTATGCTCATCAGTACCCTTTCTAATTTTTTTTTGACTGTCGAATCCCCTATTATCAGGGTTATTTGTTCTAATTTTTTGTGTATATAATTTGTTCGAACATGAACCTGAATCACCCCTCTTGCTATTGTGTAAAAAATTTCTTCTCTCCTGTGTTTTCTGTTTATGAAAAAGCCAAAATGTGGTACTTTGAACTACAACCTATTCTAATGTTGCTACTATTATCCTTGCATTTATAAAAAGTAGAGGCATTAATAACTTGGTGCAGCTACAACAACCCCTTGTCACCATTTGGAAAATGTTTAATTCGCGCCTATGCGGAGACCCTTAATTGTAATATAATTTATTTTTTTTAAATTAAATATTACATTTATCCTAACAAAATAAGTAAAAAACCATAAAAATTTAGCATATTCAGTCGTCTAAATATTTAAATCAATGTATATAATAATTTTTAGACTATTGGGGGGGGGGTCTTTTTAACAATTTTAGTCATCAATCATCATAATTTAATCACCTGTAATGCTTGGTCCATGTATTATTCATTTTCTCAATATTTTAAGAATTTGTCAAGGAAACTCGACGAGTTGGGAGGCGCCAACTCGTCGTGTTGAGTTTATATGGCCGCATATATTTTTCAAGATCTACTCGAGGAGTTGGAAGACCCCAACTCGATGAGGTGGTGGCTGATTATGAAACCCTAATTTTTAGGGTGTTATACCCTATTTAAGGACCTTATACTATTTGAGTGGCCTCCTCATCCGCCCCTCTGTCCAGAAAATCCTAGCCTTGAGTATTCTCTTCCATTTTTTAGTGTGTGAGAACTTAAATAGTGTCTCTTTGGTGTCTTCTTGAAGAAGCTTGAAGTTGGTGGTGCTTAGCTAAAGGGAGAAGCTTTAGATCCAGAAATTTCTCTGTTGTGGCAGCCATATTGACGTATAAAGTTGATACCTTGATTATTTATTTGCTAGATCTCTTCATTTGAGAGTATATTTCCACTATTAGCTTATTTTGGGATCATTCTTGGTTTTGAGCATGTCATGAAGCTATAACTTCAGATCTGGACACCTCATGGCCTGTTTGGACTTAAAGTTGCCAGCTTTATCAAGTATTGGCCCTCTTTCATGCTCTAAGTCCCTTAATAAGCTTTGTTTAAGTGTTTTAGTCTCTTGATGCCATGCATGGACGTAAACTTAGCAACTTTACGTTGTATTTCAGCCCTAGGGGACCAGATCTATGGTCTGGGGCATTAGATTCGCTTGGGAAGTGGCTGAACGTGGTATGACTAGGAAAATTTGACGAGTTGCTTTGCCAACTCGGCGACTTGGCTCGGGTTTTCCCGCTTTCTGGATGCTGTAGGAACTCGACGAGTTGATAGATGTACTCAACGAGTTGGGTCAACATGGACTGTTGACCTTACTGTTAAATTTGACTTTGGCTATGGTTGACCAAGTTTGACTGTGAGGGTATTTCGGAATTTTGATGGAATAAGTCACATGATGGTTGTAGGCAGTTGAGTTCGAAACTGTGATTTGGGAGTTGGATCTTGTCAGTCAGCGCTACTTGTGAGGTGAGTCTTCTCACCACACTTATGGGTCGAAGGCACCAAGGTCGGCCCATTATTTGATATGATATGTTAATATTGCATGGGAAATGATATGTTATTTGATTTATGCATGGGTTTATGTGAAGACCATGGGGGAGCCCATGGCACTTGTCAAAACCATGGGCGGAGCCCATGGCAGAAGGATATAAGACCATGGGGGTAGCCCATGGCATTCCATTGAAGACCATGGAGGCAGTCCATGGCAGTTTGTATGTATATGTATGAGCACGACATTATGTGATTATATGATTGGTGTGATTGGGAAACTCACTAAGCTTGTGCTTACAGTTTACTTGTATGTTTCAGGCACATCTTTTGATAAGGGCAAGAGCCGAGCTTGATGATGAGGCATGCATTCTCTGGTGTTTTTACATTGGTGCTTTGTACTTTTAATTTTCAAAATAACATGGATATGTATTGGGATTTTATAATTACTACGGTTGATGTTATGAAAATAAAAGTTTAAAATTTTTATGAAAATTTGGGGCGTTACAAGTTGGTATCAGAGCCTTGGTTTGAGGGATTCGGACACACTTCTGGGTGTGTCAGAACTCAAACTGAGGGAATGGTAACAATTGTTTTTCAAAAAGAAACCAATGTTTAATTTCTTGAAAACAATTTTGTAAGAAAAAGAGGAGAATGCAATGCACATAATCGGCCGAGCTCAAGTAGGTATTCCCAATGTTTTAGCCATGGTATGATATATATGGAAATATGCTTGTATGGATTATTTACTAAGTGTATGCTTTCAAAGTTGTACATGTTTAGGATTGCGTAGCCCTAGAATGAGGAAGTCTGCCTTATTCATGTTCCTTGTTTGGTTGTGGTTTAGGGTAGAAGCTTTATTTGACAGTCTATGTGATTCTCTTTGTGTATAATTTGCATGCATAAGGCAACCTGTTATGATTGATTTAGATTTCTGGTTCGGTAAGGGTTGAGAATCCTAGGGTAGTCTAG